CAAGATCCACCTGTTTTTGCTTCCCAATGCTGGAGCTATGGACATACATGGCCATGTCCAACTTTTATGCAGGTGTTTGGGATTTAGACCCAGATCCCCATGGTTGTGCAGCAAGTTCGCTTACCTTCTGAGTAATATCCTGCTGTGGAACAATCATTTTCTACACTTTGAATATCTCTCATTGGTTAATACAAAGCTAACAGGCCAGTAGCTGGGGAGGAAGTTAGGTGGGAAAGCCAAACTGAGAATGATGGGAAGAAGGAGAGCAGAGTCAGGAGAGATGCCACCCAGCCTCCCAGGAAGCAAGGCATGCTAGAGGACAGGTAAAGCCATGAGCCATGTGGCAATACATAGACTAAAAGAAATGGATTAATGCAAATGTAAGAGTTAGCTAGTAACAAGCCTGAGCTATTTACTTAGCATTTGTAATTAATATAAGCCTCTGAGTGATTATTTGGGACCAGACAGTTGGGATGGAAAACATCCATTTACTATATCCCCATCCCTCTTCATGTATTTTCAATTTATTACACTGTAATATGCTTTTAATGTTATTGTATCCTTTCTTTCCTGACAGAGTCCTAATTGCAGCCCAGACTGACCTGAATTCACTGTGTAGCCCAGGTTGGCCTGGAATTCACAGCAGTCTTCCTGCCTCACCACACAGCCACTAGTATTATGCTGGCTATATATTGCCCTGCTTTACATGCATTTTTTAATCTTAGGGATGCAGATTGAGTCGATTTAATTTAGGCTCTTTTCTGAAGGGAAACAGAGGAGCAGTGAATCTGAGAGAGAAGAGAGAGAGAGAGAGAAGAAGGGAGCTGGGTGGAGGGGAGGGAAGAGAGGCTGCTGTAGAGATATACGAGAGAATAAAGAAAAATTAAAAAATAAAAAACAGGATGTTCTGTATGGTTTGTAAAATATATATTGGTATGTCTTTAACTAATTTGGGGGAAGTTTTTTTCTATGGTCCCACCGAAAATCTGGTCTATACCAGTGACTTGAGAGTCACTGCTCTACCTATAGTTCATGGATTTGTTCTTTTTATGGCATCTCACAGTGTGTTTTAAAACAAAGTTTGTTTTCTTTGATTGAGTGACCCAATTCCTCCACTTTACTTCTAAGTCCTGATATTCTGTCTTTATCTACTCTAGTGGTAAGGCCCCTAGGTTTTCTAACTGGGTTGTTGCATTTTTACCTTCCCTTATATTTCCCACTTTGCAAATCAAGGGATCTTGTCAAAACAATTAGTCAAATTAGATCTTTCTAACAGAAAAAAATTGAATTCAGTCCTAAATTAAAAAGAAAACTGTGTCATTGTAGGCTACTGTGACAAGTGTCTCAAATTTAAATGCTGATTCTAAAAGAGATAAGGTTCAGGCATTTGTTTTGTGTCTTTTAGAGAAAAAGGAATCCATGTCTTCTTTCACTCTCTCACTGATGTTCCTGAGTCTTTGGAGAATTATAGAAAGCTATGTTCTGGTTGTCAGAAATATCTGCACTCTAACCACATAAAAATATTCCAAGACAGGCCCAAAACCTCTTTTTCTAAACTCTTAAATATGTATATAACTAGGAAAAATATGACTTTCCCTGGATATCAATATTTTGAACTGATTGATTGATACTAAAATTTTTCCTATTCTGGGCCAATGCCTTATAGTAAGATTAGAGATGCTGAGAGCTGGCTGTGGACACGGAGTTGAGAAAGCAGAATGGAGGATAAATCAAGCACTGATTGTGTCAGACAGGGCAGATTTGCAAGACAGAATATGGAAAACATAGAAAGAGAAACTGGTTATCTATTCATGTGTGCAAACTCTTGGGCAATTCCATGAATTCCTGTGGGTACCCATGGCATAGTCTGAAGACCTTTCTTAATGTAAGTCCTAATCAAATGGTCTCAGTGAGAGGTATTTGATATCCCACTATCTCTCTATGGGTCCCTCAGTGGAGTATCAATTCCAAGGAAGATAAGGGTTTTTTTTTGTTGTTAGAAGAAAATGAGTGTCTCCTACATATAAACCTAGAATAGGGTGGTAGTATGTTTGAGGAGTTAAATAAGGTTAAGACCCTGAATTTCTTCTCATTGGCATTGATGAGAGGATTTTAATA